GAACTCTCACCCGGAGATTCCCCCGCAGCAGCCACCGGAATGGTGGTCCACATTTCAGACTCAGTACACAGCCGACATCCGCTCTATCCACGATCACTTTGACGCCCAGGACAGCAGATGGGCTGCCCTCGAGAGCTGACAGACCACGCAGTGGACCAGCTGGGAGACACAGCAGAACACTCGATGGGACCAGTGGGAGACCCAGCAGCAGACTTACTGGACTCAGATGGGTACGCAGTTCGATACCTTCGCTGGCGGCCTTCAGTCCATCCGCGAGCGGCAGGACCAGCAGGACGCTCGGATGAACAGCTGGGACCAGCATTTCACTCAGTGGGACACCCGTTGGGGTTCGGGTCCCAGTCACCCTCACCAGCCACCATCACCTCCGGATGCACAGTGACTTGTCACTGTGCTTTGTATGTTCTCTTTTTCCCTTTCTCTTTTTATTTGTGTACAGCTTCTTTGTTTTTGTTTTTGCGTTGGTCTGTTATATGGTCTAACTCTCCTTCACCGAGACTTGACAATGGGGACATTGTCTGGTTTTAAGTGTGGGGGAGTTTTACATGACTATGTGGTTGACCAGGTCTAGTTTTTCCTTTTAGGATTGCGTTTATTTCATTATTTCTTTTCTATTGCGTGGTGGTCCAGTATAGTTTTTAGGATTATTTGTGGTGTCTTTGTGAGCTTGGACTTTGGTATATTGTAAGACTAGTTGATGATTGGTTGATTGAGTTAGGAAGTTGTGATGATGAGAATGAGTGTCATATTTCGATGAATTGGCTTGGTTGTTTTGTTGACATTTATTTTACCTTGTGAGGCTTTGAGCCACATTCATTTCTTTTCTTGTGAGTTATTGGTCGGAATCGTTATCAATTAGAATTTGCCTTGAGTCTGCTATGAAATGAAATAACTGGATTTGTGAACGTGAATATGATTGAGGCATTCTTTGTTTTTCCCTTCCCTTTTCTTTTTCCTGAGAATAATGTCGCTAGTCACCCCTTTTGAGCCTTATTGATTTTCTTTCTCTTACCTCGTGACGATTATATTGTGGAGTTACGTGTGTGGATTGGGAGGTGATTTGCGTTGGTATATACAAAAAAAGAAAAAAGGAAGAGAGAGAAACCGAATGGATTACTTAAATA